CTTCAAATATCTTTGTGATCGGTGTCTTAGGGTCAGTGGCTAAGGGATTAAACACTGGATTTGTTATCTACAGGTCCAAGTTTCGAATCTGGTCATGTACCAATCAATGTGTTTTTCGATTTTAGAATTACATATGTACCTTTTATCCAATATTCTTAGGGTGAAAGAAAAGATCGTGGTGCAATCTGCACATATCTGAAAATAGATTCAATGATATGTGTGGAATCAACCTGCAGTAAACCAGTGTGCTTAACTATGGCCTAGTCACCTCTAACTTAGGGTAGAGCGCCTTCTATTCGTTTGAACACAAAAATAGTTTCATCATCAAAACTATTTTTGTGTTCAAACGAATAGAAGTACCCAAAATCCTACCTATTGCTCTATTTTATTAAAACTTTGCTTCACCTTACTTTTACTAATAAAAACTAATGTGACACGGCGTCAACAAAGGATGCTCTATTAGTACATTGGGGTAGCAATAACGCGGGAATTTCCACAGCTTTTGGCGGCAAAGGCGGCCGTTAAGGAAAAGAAGACACATTACAACAGTCCCGTCTTTACAAATTGTTACTCGCTAACTTTTGTTACGAAAATTTATCGTAACGATTTTATTAGTGGACTTTAACTTAACTTTTGTTAGAATAAAACTAACTTATTTTCTTATATTTTATAATTAAACTAGCTGTCGTCCGTGACTCCGTCCGCGTGTAATAAAAAAAACTTAATATGTAGCCTATGTGCTCTTCCACACTATGTTTTACTTCTATGCCAAATTTCAGCGAGATCCATGCAGCCGTTCTGTAAATACCTTCTAACAAACCATCCATCGCATTTATAATATTAGTAAGATTAATTTATATACTAATGATTCTGAGCATTACAAATTTCAAAATGTTATTAACTATTGTAATTTTACTAATTATAAATACGATTGTATGGATGGATGGAGGTTTGTTAAACCAAAACGAGTAAACGAATCAGGCTAAAATTTGAATAGTTTACAGCCTGAAATAGCGCATAGGCTACGACTTATTTTATTTTTAAAATCCTCGCCTACAAAGTCGGCGGCGATAGCTATTTTTTCAATTAATAGAGACAGTTTTATTTTTATTATACACGATAGACATACATGTTCTCGTCTAGACATTAATAGTCTTTAAACAGTTAAGTAATTTCTCTTCTACCTATACTTAACTAAGTTATGAGTAATGGCCAATTCACTAACTTACTAAGTTAAGTAACTTCGTAGTAAGTTCGTATGAAACCAGCTGCGTCGTTCACGGTTCATAAACCTTACATAATTCATGCAACTTAAGTATGGAAATATTGAAAATTACTTAGCAGCTAAGTAAGTAAAGTAAGTAAGTAAACTTGATATAATATAGTAAGTGAACATATAATATAGTAGCTGATAAACCTTCTTTTATATAACTTAATGTTTCATTTTGTTTGAAACATTCGCAAAAAAAAATAAGAAATATTTTAAGAACGTTATAAAAGTTTGTTTACGTATTTTTAATATTGAAGACGTAAGTGATAAAGAAAATTCGAGACTTCCACAATAAAATACTAAATTTTAAATAGCTAAATGTAATACATTCCATTTCCAGGGCTCGGACTATCAATTAAGTTTTTTCTCAATTCCGCGGGGACGGAGTCGCGGACGAGAGCTTGTTTAAATTAATGTAATAAGTGCCAAAGCCTAAAGCGTCTATAGCCTAATAGGGTACGGATTTCCGATCACGAGGTCGGGGGTTCGAATCCCACCATTTGACTATTGTCGTAAACCATATCATAGCACAAGCTTACAGCTTATTTGGAATGGTTAAAGAAATATTAGTAAATTTACATAATGTATTTAAAAAAAAAAACAATGTCATATCGGTATTATAAGTCTAAATAATGTCTATCAGAGCTATAAAACCTTGTCCGTATAATCAAATAAAACAGCTATCAATATTTCGTCAACACAATATTATAGCTTGGCCGTAATGTAAGCTACATAATCGAATCACTACGAGAATAACGAGCAATTTCGCTTCGCAAAGGAAATAAAGTTCCTTCATATAGCTAATAAAACGACGGCTCCTATGTAAAATGTTGTAATACAAAAAACTGATTTTTTAGAAGTGATATTCCATTAAATGCGTATTCAGATTACATTGCATTTAAAATCACTTTACGGGCGAAATATATTCAAATCGTGTTGTCGATACAAAAATTATTTTAATTACTTTTTTAAAAGTAGTAACAAAAATATATAATAATATTTTTCTAATACTAGTCAGATCTTTATATTGGTGAAATCCAAAGTGAATTAATTATAAACTTTCATTACAATTTATCGCGAATAAGCCAAAAACGGTTCGAGATTGAATATTGCTAATAAACAAGTTATTCTAATGTTGATTTAAGAAATATTTTTCCATGTGCAGAGTTCGATAAGTTTAAAAAGTAATTTTGCGCAAAAATCGAGTTGTAACCATATACATAGGAGCCATGGTAAGATATGGTAGGCGGGGACGGTAAACATTTACGATAGATCGAAGTGGACTGTTGTTATCGTCGGAACGATTCTGAGATGGTCGTATTTCATCGCCTTCGAGTACTATCGATATTCACGGATTTAGAGAATCGATTCGATAAGCGATTGTAATTCCTAAGTTCCTATTCAATTATGATAGAATACTCAACTACTTGTAGTGCTAAAAGTATGTATTCAGATAAATTATAATCGTAACAGTAATAAATAACATAAGAAAGTTTGATACGTGTTGAGAAATATGTTACAATTTTGTAAGAAAAATTCAGAATTAGTCATTCTTCAAGAGTAATCAATGAATAGAAGAGATGATAATTCGTAATTATATAACTGTTATATTTAATAACTGAAGTACAAGTTGACTTCTATAAATCGTTCCTAATTCCTGGGAATCGCGACCTTCTGAACTTTCTCTCTTGCCATATGTTGCATAAAGCTGTCCACCCAGTATCGTAAAGTGGATAACGGGGACTATGGACTGAAGCATGATTCATATTTGATTAGTAAATAAGGAGAATGATGTATTCTTACCTTGGAAAGCTGCCTCGAAACGCACCGGCTCGAGCGTCGGTACGCGGCAAGCTACCGACGCCAGCAGCGCGGCGAACGCGACGAGCGGCGTGGCAAGCGGCGCAGCGAGCGACGCGGAGAGCGACGCGGAGAGCGGCGCGGCGAGCGGTGCGGCCATCGCAACACTACGCCATGCCATCTCCGCCCATACTCGAGCTGGCGTACACTCTGGAAACAACAACGATAACATTATTAACACGTTCAATGCCGCACCAAGTTTACTCGCTAAGAGACAGTGGCACTTTATATTTATAATCATAACTATATAGAATAAAACTGCTTAATGTAATCGATAGGAACCCCTAAGCCTCTCTTATAAATACCCACATATACTGGCTTTTTTCGGAAAAAAAAAACTGTCTCATTATAATAGAAGAAGTCATGTGCTCCTAAGTTTATTTTACTTAACATTACATTAAGAAAGAAATCAATAAAAAATCGCTTACACAAATCCAAACAGAATTGAAAATGTTATTCAAAAGCGTAGTTGTATAACTCAATTGCAGGTAAGCTGTAGTCGTGTGCCTTCAATCCAAAGCACGTTCACGTTTCTTCGCAAGCTATTCGATTCTGTTTGAAGAATTTGTAAATTTTGCTTTTAGATATTTGCTTCTTGTTATAATCGTGTTATACTCACTTTCATATTTGAAATTAAATATGTAAAAACATTTTTTATCTTTCCTTTCCACGTAATGCTTACAGCATTCAAAGGGTTACTCATCCAATCAACTAACCAACTCGCATAATGAAGAATAAATTTCTCCTCTCACTTTTATCGATTAACTCATTAAACAATGACAGTTATCAAAGTTTTTTTTAAAGAATTTTGACACCAATAGATCTATAATAAAGCTATCCGTTCTCTAGATAATATTATAAATCCCGAACAAGCAATCAGTTACAGAGGTACAATAAAAGAGAGCTGATTTAATTCAGAAAAGAACCTTAGGTAGCTAAGACATTCACATAACCCTAGTCTTATTCCCTCCGATTTTCTTTGTAACTACGAAGGCCATGACGCCGTTTTGCCGACCCTTCGTCTTAAATCGTCTGGATCGATTTACGCTAGGGTTGGCACGTGATAGAAATTTATCTCATCTCGACTTAAATTATAAGAACCCCGAAAGCATATTTTGACGAGTCATATCCTTTATTACTTCAATATTAATTAGAAAATTTTAACAATAAAATATTATTTAAAATATCGAAATATACTGCCAACCTTAATAACTTTTATTTGCTTGTACAGAATACGCGACGTCTTGCATTTGATGTGACTCAGATCTAACCTTAACGTTTCAAACGAAATTCTAGAGAATTCAAGCGAGATTTGACGCAAATGAAACATTTTCTTACTTCTAAAAGTTACTTAGAGATACCAATACGGCAGTATTGGTATGGTTTAATGTTTCAATCCATACATCTTATAAAAATGGATTGTCTGTATGTAATATAAAAAAAACATATTTCATGAACAAGATGTCTTAGTATTGTTTGAACATAAAACCATTTTTTGTTTGTCTATGAAGCCATGTTTGTTCCAGGTAAATTTCGAAACGGCTAAAATTAAGCAATTTTTTTAATTTGTGCAAAAGAAGAAACGATCAACCGCTAGTTTAACCATTTTTGAGCATTTGTACTCATTTGGACACTTTTTGACTTTGTAACGAGATAGTCATGGTACTAGGTACAATATTGATCAATGTTTGGATATTTTAATCCATAACTTAAAAATTGCCTTCAATATTATACAGAAGACGTTTTTTAATTTCATTTCAAAGTTTTAGTTTTCTTTTAAATTAAAAAAATAATACTAACAATTATGACAGATGAATTATGAAAATGTCAATTGACTTCTTTGAATTGAATTGACAGCTGACAATCGAACCGTAAACCGAGGAAAATGTAAACATTAAATTACTGTTTCTTTCCAAAAGTTAATTATAAGGCTTTATTCGTGTGTTCATTTAAAAACGTGTGACTTTCATGTTTATTTTATCCAAAATTTCAAATCTAGATAGTAATTTGAGTGATCGTGAAACGTTATTCTAATATGAACAGTTTAAAAGTTCTGTTTACCTTTGTATTTTTCGTTTGTTTACTCGATAGGGTGAAGCTTTTAGATAATGGATTGGCAAGAACACCTCCGATGGGGTGGATGTCGTGGGGGTATTATATGTGCGGAGACAACTGTTTGGATAATCCACAAAAATGTCTTGAGTAAGTAAACAACTTTTCTTAACAAATTCCTATTGGCTACTTATAAATACATACATTAGGGATTACTTATAAATGTGAATATTTGGATGTATTGATGGATGGGTGGATGTTTGTTATATAATAACATATTGTGTATATGTTTTGTTAAAGATAATGAGAGGGGTAACAATGTTATATACTTAGATTTTGGTCTCAGAAATCAATGATAAGATATAACATTGATACTTTTTATTGAATTTATGTTTCCAGTGAAGAATTAATTCTATCAGTAGCAGATTCATTTTACAATGATGGTTATCAAGAAGCTGGTTATGAGTACATTGTGATCGATGACTGCTGGTCAGAACGTGAACGAGGCAGTGACGGCAGACTGGTGCCTGACAAAAATAGGTTTCCAAATGGAATGAAATACATTGCTGATTATGTTAGTGAGTTATTTTATGATTATAAATTATAATTTAATCTTTATTTCTGTGTTTATATAAGTAGAGTAAATTCTGCCTACTGCAGAAACTATATATTGGGTTTCAATATTCTAACTGTACGTAATATGTAACTATGACTTCTTCAAATAACTGCTAGAAAATATTGCTTTAGCTGTGTTTGTTCAAGTAAAGTTTTAAGGGTATAAGGAATAATTATTAAATAGCAGTTGCCCATGATTTAATTGCTCGGAATAAAAAAATCTTGTATTAAATATATATGTCATCCGGAGATAGTGTAGCTTCCTAATGTTGAAGAAATTTTTCAAATCTTCCACCTTCCTACCTTTCTGAACATATGCAATGCAAGCAAACAATTAAATAGTTTATTCTCTTTAAAATATATGTACAGATTATACCAATTATTTTTTCCAATTATCAACCGTTTATTTTTAATTTCAGATTCATTCTAAAGGTCTTAAATTCGGCATGTACACTAATGTAGCAAATATAACATGTATGCACTTTCCTGGTTCAAGGAATCATTTTGGAATTGACGCCATGACATTTGCAGAGTGGGGAGTTGATTATATCAAAGTTGATGGATGCTTTGTGGGGGAAAGTTTCTTAAATACTGGTAAGATATGTAGAATTTAAATATATACATTTTTTTATATTTCTTTTTATATAGTTTAGTTTAATCCAAAACCAAAAATGTAAAAAATATAATCTTGGCATTTTTTTTTTTTTTTAAATATTGTAAGGTGTAAAATGGGCCCTTGGTCAAACACAGCAATCGCAGGCCGTAGGCATCGACATTTATAGATATTTGGCCAACATTAAAAAAAAAACATTTTTGAAACAGTTTTTTTTCTATTTTCTTTTATGTTAGACATTCATATGATTCAATTTTAACTATTATTGTTTCATTCCAGCATATATAAAGCTTGGACATTATTTGAACAAGACTGAACGGGCCATAGTGTACTCATGCAGTTGGCCGTATTATATTGAATACATACATCGTAAAACTGTAAGTACTTATAAGTTGGGAATATCCTAAAGACAAAAACAAAATATATAACACATCATCTGTCTGTCCTTGTCACACCCTTTGCCAATGAAAGAGCGGGCAATATAAGTTGCACAAGACACGGAGGCCTAATAGTCCACCTTCCTTTCCACAATACTTAATTCGATGGTTTTTATTAAAAATTTGTACCGTTTTATTTAATTTGTAATGTAATTATTTGTCGGGAGATTCAATATACAAGGGGAATGATTTAAAAAGTATCTGTATTTCTCTAAAAATCTATACTAATATTATAAAGCGGAAGAGTTTGTTTGTTTGTTTGTAACGCGCTAATCTCTGGAACTACTGGTACGATTTGAAAAATTCTTTTTTTGTTGGAGAGTCCATTTATAGAAGAAGACTTTAGGCTATATAACATTACGCTGCGACCAACAGTTTTTTTTTTTAATTCCGCGCAGACGAAGTTGCGGGCGACAGCTAGAATAGTTAGATATGGTCATGTGTTTAACCTTTTGAACACCAGTGGAAGGATATGGACGTCAAAGTGGTTATATGTTTCATCATGAATATGTATCACCATATTACTTTCGGACTATATTACTTGAAAATCAGCGTCGGCCAGTATAAAAAGGTTGACTTTTGTTTAAGCTTAAATGTATTTGAAACAATTTTTTTTTATAGTAAGTCCCTGTTTATTTAAATAGTATTGGCAGTGAACGTGTTAATGTTTCTATCAATCAACTGTCCATTATTCCATTTTAGGCGCGAACAGATTTAGGCATATCTAAATTTATTCCTGACACTAATCGAATTGAGGTCGTCGCTAGACTTAATTCTCGGCTGTCATTTAAAATTCCCACTATAATGTCGGATCGCAATTGACTTAAATGTTAAATTATTTTAATTTGTTCAGCACTTGTATGAAAAATAACTTTAGCAACTTCTAAATTATATCTAACACTTTAGAAATTGTTACGGTTTTTGCTATACTAGCGTCCTAGGCGAGATTTATACAACGGCCAATTGTTTATAATGCCTTTAGGGGGATGTAATAGGGTTACGTAAGACTGTAATTCATAGACCAGTGGCGGCTCTTTCTGTGAAGCGCCCTGGGCGGTCGCCCAAACACGTCCTAACCTACCGCCAGCCCTGCTCAGAAGGGAAAAGAAATTGTGGTCAAAACTTTTAAGTGAATTTACGGGTCATGTCTACTATGTGTTTTTAAGTTTTTTGAGTCCTATAAATAAAATTTAAACTTAGTATATGTAATTTATACACTCAAGTGAACATTTTAATAGAATCTAAATGAGACTGATGGCCTTTATTTTGATTTTCCCCCCACATGTTGAGGTATAGTCAAAGAATTAAATTCGCTTCCCATATAGGTTTAAATATAGTTACTATGCTAAATTTTCGTCTTAATTGCATTGTTATGGTCAAATGACATATCACTGAACGGATAGGAAATATACGTCTGCGAGGGAATCAGTTTTTTTTTTAAAGTATCTATTATTTCTACCTCGTCCAGCCAGATTATTCAAAGGTAGCAGCTCATTGTAATCTATGGCGGAATTATCACGATGTGTCAACATCTTGGGCATCGGTGAGAATAATTATGGAGCATTACAAGCAAGAATACTCTACTTTATCTAAGTACCATGGACCTGGGGGATGGAATGATCCAGATATGGTAAGAGTTATTTTATTCAACTTCGTCTGATTAGAATTAAAAAAAAATTATTAGCCTTTATGATGTCCACACTGTAATCTGTTCCAAATGTTATCCATATCCGTCTAGAAGTTCAGGACCTAACGAACAAACATACATACAAACACGCGCGAAAAGCATTACCCTCTTGTCGGTTGCTTACTCTATACAAAATATACATAAAATTGGAGAGTATGTATGTCATTTCTAAAAAAAAATATATTTTGTACACATAATATATTTGCGAAGTTGACAACAAAAAAACAATTTGTCCGTCTGTATGTATGTTTATCCGCAAGGCTGCGTTTGTTTTGCTTAATTCTGGAACACGTGGACCGATTTGGACGGGACTTTAACGGGAAGGACTTTATTTCTGCGCTGACGAAGTCCATTAGTTAAATCATAAAATGCTTGTTTTTCTGTTTGTCTAGTTAATTATAGGTACGGATGTACTAACAGAAGGTCAGAGTAGAGTACAGATGTCAGTATACGCGATGTTATCTGCTCCCCTTTTGCTAAGTTGTGATATGACCAAGATAAGTGATTACGAGAAGTCTTTACTGCAAAACATGGATCTTATAGCTATTGGACAAGACCCTTTGGGTATTATGGCACAGCCGTACGAGGTAGGTTATTGATTAACTAGGTAACAATTTTTACAAGCGTCAGTGGCTCAGGGATCAAGCACTTGACTTGCAATCTGCAGGTCCTGGATTCGAATCCCGCCATGTACCAATGTGTTTTTCGATTTCCTATTTACATACGCACATTTATCCTATGTTGTTACGGCGAAGGAATACATTGTGATGCTGCACATATCTGAGAAGAAATTCAAAGATATGTGTGAAGTCAAGACGCACTGGGCTATGGTTGACTATCCTCTCTGGCTCTGACCCCTCGGTGGGGACGTATAGTGAACTGATGATGAACAATTTTAGTTTGAGAAACGCGTGTGCATTCCGAGTTTCTTAGACCAAAACCCCCATTTGAAATATATTGTTATCTCCGTTTTGTCAAAGATGAAAGACAAGGATACCGAGTTCTATACAGAGATTTTAGACTCATAAACCCACGTTACATTAATGTTTAGTTGATTTTTTATGTATCTTATTATATTAGCTTTAGCTAATTATTAAGTCTAGTCTTTATTAGACAGACCTTCATCCGTTAGATAGAACATTGAGTGGCATTATACGGAAATAGCTCGCTTTGATGTCGCCGACGATCGTTAGCGAGGTAATGTGATGGAATACGCTTTGCCTATACATGCACTATGCAACTCTAATATATATTTTTTTTAATATTACCAGATATTTGTTAATTTACTAATATTGCTTATACCATTCTAACTAAGCTAGACTTGTTGTATGGTTTACAATAGTCGAATGTTGGGATTCGAACGTACGACCAAGTGTTCGGAAATCCGTACCAATTAAGCTATTAGCGCTTTAGTATTAAGAAATCTAAAACAATTTAAGGAATCATCCTGTTTACGAATGTTTCGTTTCAATTCAAAGTCCTAAGAATGTAAACAGAGTTATGTTAAATCTCAAACATGGCGGTCGTTTCAAATTGCTATATTTTCTATGCTACAGTATGTTCTTTTTCCTACATCTATATCAGCGTATCTGAATTCACTCCCTTATTATTTTTTTACACAATTCATATATTCTTTGATCAGCCACTATCTTGTTTATGTGATTATTGAATAATTAAGTCTTTGGATTGGTAGAAATATACCTCTCAATTATTTTAATAACACATCAGATGTCAGATTAATAAAAAATGAAGTTCTCTATTTTATGTTACTTTATAAATATAAGCATTGCCTATTTTATGGATACCTTTTTTTTAACTAAATGACTTACCGTGAGTTTCAGAGATTAAAATCTTCGTTTAAAACAGATTGTTTTCTCTGTTTTATCAAAGGTTTTGACGATATATTTTATATAGAGATTTTAAACTCAGAAACCCAGGGTTAGAACGTAATATACAATATAATTTAACTGTAAAGTGTCTAAAATTTGTAATTTTAGTAATCACTCGGTATAAACTAAATGCCTATTTTGTTTTTTTTATAGCTTTCATATTTTATAACTCTTTGGGTAAAGCGACATCTTCCTATGAAAGGCGACAAGTATCACTCTTTCTCTTTCGCACTAGTCAACGTATACCAAAGTAATTTTACCGTCTCTTTCGCTCCTAGTAATTATGGTTTGGAATCAGAAGGTGGATACAGCGTGATGGTAAGTTTTTTATTTCATTAATATTTATAGTATTTAAGTATTTTTTTCGATTTTTTTATGCATTTTTAATATTAATATTTTTTTTTGTTTGGTTAATTTAAATGCGTTTTTTTGTATAGGATGTATTTACTGGAAAGTACTTAAGGAATGTAACTTTAGAAGATACAATGACAGTATTGGTCCCATTTGAAGGTTGGTTTTATTAATTTTGGATATAAATCTATTATTTTAAAAAAGGAATTTACTAAAAACTTTTTGAAAAAAAGATCCCGATATTTTTAAAAAATACAAAAGAATTTGGGAAGGATTAAACATTTGCATATTTTACGAAATTTAGATGATTCAATAGAAAATAAAATATTGTGTATTTTCTTTCAGATGTTATTTTATATTCTCTCTACGCATTATAAAAATCATTGAAAATTTAAATCTACTTATAAATGAGTCTCAGTATTTGTTGAAATAAATAAATTTCTTATTAAAAGAGTTGTTTTTTTTTATTCGCTTGTTAAGTTTATAGGTATTCTTTCGAAAACAAAAAATATTAAAAAAACGACAAAATTATGGTTAAAATAATATACCACAGATCCTACGCAAAAGATAGTAATTCAGATTATAAGCATTTTTGTTTTTTTTTAACTGAATTTTTTTATATTTTATTTAAATAATTAGAATTGGAATACTTTTAACATTGGAAATAATACTATGCTATTATCTGTAATATAAAATCGGTCTTCTGAGAAATCGTATTTTTTGTGTTACTTTTATGCATGGAGCCCTTGTTTTTTTTTAATAAAAAGACCCATTGTACAATATATCAGATGGATGCTTTTGTTTTGGAGTGTTGCCAGAGGAAGGCTTTCCAGGCATTTTTATTACCTTTCATTTTATGGTATACACATGTATTATTCAAAACACAATTTTATGTTGCAATATTGCACATCCTGTATAAAGAAAACAATATGACTACACGAATTTTGGTTTACAATTTTATTTTTTGAAATTGCGATTTTTAATATACGGTGAGTTTTCATTGCTTTAAAAACATACGAAAAAAAACTATTAAATCAGTTGATATCAAATATATGTGTTTTGTACTCCGGCAATGGAAACATACGATTTATCTTAATATAAACAAGAAAGTCTTGTTGTTATATTGTAAGGTGGCAAACGAGCAAGCACTTGAATTCGCTGAAATGGCGAAGCGACCGCTGCAATATCATATATATTTTTTATTATTAAATTCTGTATTGGGGTATGGCCTGTGTCAATACAAGTGTAATCGAAACTCAAAAAGAGAACATCGCATTTAAATCTTACCAATAATATAAATGCGAATGTTTACATGGTATCTCCAGAACAGCTCAACAGATCTAGATTAAATTTGACATACATATAGAACATAGTCTGTAAAGACGACGGAAAATATGAGGATGGAAAGAGCGGTTGAATTAGGATGAATTTTAGAATTTATAAAAATTAAAAGACAAAATGAAAATATAATATAGAATTATGAAAATGTAGAGATAAGCACGCACTGTTAGAGGATATAACTGAAACTTTTAAATATAGAGAAAAAGGAAGAAAAAATATATAAAGTTCCAAATACAAAAATATAAAAATTATGATTAAAAAACGTGTAAAAAGTTTCCGTATCTGTCGGCAACAGTCTGGAAGAAAACAATGGCTACTTATTAAGTTAAGTCCGTGCAGACGGAGTCGTGGGCGACAGCTAGTAGTACAATAAACTTTATATCAAACTAACGATCGCCCTCGACTGCATCTATACTCAATTAAAAAAGAACTATAATTAGTAGTCTATGTGTTCTTCCAGACTTTGTTCTATATGTATTGCAATATGAAAAATAAAGCTGGTTATGCACTGCAATAATTCTCACACAACATTAGACGCAGATATTGAGCGTTAATCAAATGTAAATGTGCGACTCGTGTTATAATTAAATGAACACGAGACGGTACTTGTATGGATAGCTTTATAGCGCACGTAATTACGTTAGCAAGGCTTTGAATAGCTTCTAAAAGGTTTGCACTAGACGAGAAATTTTGTAAAAAAAAATCACACATGTTTTTTTTATGGCGAATGGTTGTGTGGAGGCACGTCTGGGAAGTTTAACGTTCGATTCTCAGTTTCATAGATACGCGCGGAATTAAAAAAAACTTAATAAATAGCCTATGTAATCTTCCAGAGTATGTTCAATATCTTTGCCAAATTTCAGCAACATCCATGCAGTTGTACTGAACATACCTTCAAATTTACATCTAAACATTCGCATTTATAATATTAGTATGAAGTAGGATTTTTGGAGAAATATAGTAATGTTTTTTATTTACCCTTTTCCATTATTTGGCATCGAGTAACCTTTTCAATCTGTCTAACCAGAGTTAAAAATTGTGTTACCTTGTCTGATATAATTACCAAGGCGATACATTTCCCTTCAACATATTAAAGACACATATTCAAATAATATTGAATTTTCACAAAGCGTAAATACATAAGGAGTAAGTAGCGTGTGCCAAAGAGGATCCCATTGGATAATTAAATCTACGTTGCGAAGTGCCTGCCTTCAATAGCTCCGTATAATATCACTAATTACGTCTCCGAAGAATTTAAACGACAATTTCTAATGGTTCTTGTAGTCTTACTTTATTAATATTATACTTATTATATTATAAATACGTATAGATGGATGGATGTTTGTTAGAAGGTATCCCAAAAACTGAGCAACGGATCTCGATGTTTGGCATAGATTTATTATAGATTTTTTTTTTTATTCCGCGAGACATAGTCACGCGACAGCTTGTTATTATTATAAATGCGAATGTTTGGATGGATATTTATTAACTAGGTGTCTCCAAATGCAAAATATTAAAACCAATTTATTCTAACAGCCACTTTTACTAACATATCTATTACTTATCTTCCCCTTATTCATTCCCTCCGATATCAAAATTTTAGAGTTAAATAGAAACCGCAAATATCGTTTTTAATATTTTATTTATTATAATATCATAGATTTAAGACTATTCATTAGATTCTTTGTTAGTTTATTGTTTTATAATAAATTGTAAAAGTATTATTTAAAAAAAAAACGCAAATATATAATTGAGTATTTCTAATACAACCGTCAGATACAGGGAGTGCAACATTTTAATTACACAATAAACTCTTTGCTTAGTTAAAGCCAGACGGACGATGTTCACCGACCGCAAGAATGGCTATTTCATCCAGTTATTTTTCCTGAGGTTAGTTTATTAACATTTTTCTTCAAAGGATATTTTATATTATGCTTGATTTTATTACTTTAAAACTCTGATTTTAGGATAATTTTAACCCCTTAAGTAGGTCACGTATCAATCTATTTAATTTGAAATACAAACACTAAGGGTAATAGTAATAGATTTCGCACACTGAAAAATTTAACACCCTGTATAATGTCAACTTATTGACTAAATTAACTTACGGCTTTGCATGGAATTAATCTTCTTATATTTTTTTTTTATAACAGAAGGGGCAAACGAGCAGCGGGAACACCGAGGTGTTCAACGACGCCCATGGACATCAGCAATACCAGAGGAACCGCAGATGCGTTGCCGGCCTTTGAGGTGGTGATAAGCTCGCTTCTTGAAGGACCCTAAGTCGTAGCGGTTTGGAAATACCGCCGAGGACAGACCATTCCACAACGCTGCTGTGCGAGGCAGGAAGTTTCGCGCAAACCGCACGGTTGTGGATTGCCAGCCATCGAGATAAATAATTATAATAATTGTTGTCGCGATTGTACTGTATAAAGGACGTTTTAAAGTACAATGATTTGAGCAGTACCATACTTTTGTACCTCAGAGTACCGCTGGCTCGATGCCACGGTTATTTGAGCCCGGTTCATGTAATACAATATTCTGCAACTACTAAATTCACTCTGTATATTATTTTATACGTTTCGTCTTGTTCATTTTAAAGCTATAAACATCAATTTTGTCTTGAACACTGTCAATGACTTCTACGCATGAAGTCGTACTTCAATAATAATTTTTGAATAAGCAATTTCAGTGTATATTAAAGGCTATGTTCCATTTTTTTTTATCGCGTACCTTCTTTAAAAAAATACTGATTGTGTTTTTGAGAAAAAAAGGTTTGCTTTTTATTTGTTAACGATACCCTCATCCCCTTAACGTCACGCACAATCTCACAGCTTCTGCTAATTCTAACGTACCTTTTCAAGAGCTATCATGTCGACTTGCGTATCTTTTATATTTTGATTTAGAGAATAAACATTATTCATAAATAAAAATAACACAATTCATTAAAAAACTAAAAAGAAATGAATGACGACTAGACTAGACTTTTTTAATATCAAAAGGTAAACGAGCAAGTGGACATCTGAATTCGCTAAAATAGCGAAAAGACCGCTGCCCAGACATTCACAATTGCAGATGAGTTGCCTACCATTAATCTACGGATACGGAACTTTTTTTCCAAAGTATTAATATATTTCGATGAAATATTTTAATGCCAACATTACGACGCATACAAATCTTCTGGGAATTACAATATTAATATTTATTTATCAGTAGGATAGGCTCCGAGCCCCTCGGTGGGGACGTATAGTGGGCTGATGATGATGATGATTTATCAGTAAGTACAAAATGAGAATTATTAACCCAACGGAAAACTGTATAAAGTATAATATAATATTTTTTTAATTTTTAACTTATCTAAAAATAATTTAATCATTTCATACTTTAAGTTAATGAAATTAATATCACGTATTTTATAGCTTTAACTAGTTACAATATGACGAATTTTGTATGTCAAATGTTATAAAAACATCATAAAAAAAATAAAAGAGCATTTTCCCGTATCATTTTCTTATTCTAAATTAATACTGTAAGAAAAATCATATTATACATCAACAATCGAAACTGGATAAGTGAGAAACCTCAATGATAAAGTCACTATCCGGTCCTGACGGCTCTCTAAAACCTCTTTAAGCGAGAACTAACCCATTATAAGCGAGAATCGTGAACCCTTATTTATTGTACGCGCATCTCTATAAGCGTGAGTCGAGCTTGTATACATTTGGAGTTGCTTTTGTTTTTATACAGTTCTGACATTGAAAATTCAACAGAATTGTTGGCCAGACATATCGATTACCCCTTAACATCGTCTGAGTTATTTAATCGATACTTAAAAATGTTGAAGGTTAAAACGTCCATAAACGATACTTTTACATTAAAAAAAATAACGGTTTTTTCTTTAATGTATTTTTATCGGACTGAAACAGTATAATAAACAGATCTATTTTCAATTGAAATTTTCAATAAATTAATCTGGTTTCCATATGTAGTTTTCACTTTTTTTTTCTTGCGTGTTTTAACAAATTTATAGCAACTT